TGTTTGGCTTCCGAAAACACCAGTGTGAATGTAATTTAGACGGAGTGTATCACAAATAATAAGAGGCTTGAGTCCTCTTTCAAGTTCAGGAACAAGTCAAGTTTTCTTGGTTAAGATCGTGGGATGCAGCTCTTAATTTTGAACTCTCAAAGTCCATTAGATAGAATGATTTAACTCAAAAATGTACAAAATAAAAATTTTTTTTTTTTTTATATCACAATAAACACTTTATCGTGGACTTCATATCGCGATATTATCGTACCGTGAGATTTTGATATCGTTACATCCCGGTTTTTATGTGATGTGAAGAGTTAGTTTGAAATGAACTATTTAAATTGATTCACAGAAATGAATTGAGATCTAGCCGTGTGTCATTTCATGCTTAGGGTTGGGTATCGTTTTAATTTTGTCGATTTCGGTTCAGAGGTGATTAAATAATGATATTAAACATTTATCCTGTGTCTCTTTTTTGCAAACCATTTGTTGGCTGCATAAAAGCTGGACTCTTTAAGAGCTGTGTGTGTGCAAAATAGAACTGCATGATTCTGGATAAATTTAGTTTTTTTCCCCCAATGGAAGTTGTGGTTCTCATGATTCTGAAGAAAAAAACATTAGACAACTAAACAAAATCACATGTAATTTATGAATTAATGATTCAATGACTCACTCAAGAAGTACTTGATTCATTACTGGATGAATCGGCGTTCTTGAACGAATCTCTTGTGTGATTCAAAGACGGATACATTTTAACAGCCTCTTTTCGCCACCTACTGCCGTAACAATGTAATCATAAATCTTAATTTCAAGTGTCAAATTACTTTCAAAAGGTGATTTACTCTACCGTACATATCGTACACAGTTTATATCTGAATATTAACTTTTATCCCAGTACCTTGTGATTTGAATGTTAATAACACAGAAATGATGATACTGTGTGGACCGCCTGTTTCATTCATGATAGACAGCTGCTCTCTTTAGGTCAGCGGAGCGCGATCGCAGATTTAAATGCTCAAATCACACTGGTGTGATCGTACGCTGCACGGAAGAACCACGTGATCACAACATTGATCGCACACGTCAAAGGTTGAGCATTGAAACAGACGAATCATTGTAATTTAGGAATAGAATCACGGTGTTTGAATCGTGTTCGCGATCTTTAACGATCTATTAAATTAAAGTGCTTTATGTTGGCTTGTAGGTACATTTTCAGACGTTTAATGAGGCTCAGAGGTGGCATGAGTGCAATTAAATTCATACATGTGGAGATTAATTTTTAAATGTAAAATTTTGAATACAGAAACATGATACAAATAACTGAAATTATATGCTAAAAATGTAACTAAATCCCCCAGCCGGTGGCGGCAAGTCACTAATTTTATCACTGATTCATTCATTCAGTTGATTCGTTCCAACGGCTGAATCATTCAGGAATGAAGCAAGTGACTGTCTTTATGAACTGGCGACAGAACTTTAATCCCTGTATCACTGATATTATACTTGGCTTTTTTGGCTTCTGATCGCTAATGTAGCCAAACTTTGGAGCACTTAGATTAGCGCTTGGTCACGTGTCGCACCAGAACCGTTTTCGGAACCGAAACTTAGAAGTTGCTCACGGTTCCGGTTCTTTTAAAAAAAAAAACGAACGGAAGGTTATCGGTTCCCAACCCTATTCCTGACCTTAAGTATCTGATTCTGGAATCGATTTTCGATTCCCAACCCTATTCATGCTTCAGTTTATTTTATGCTGTTTTTCTGGCTGCAGACGAACCCGAAGCTGTACCTGAACCTGCTGGAGCTGGAGTACAGCGGCGATGTGCAGCAGAACGAGGCCGAGATCATGGCCTGCTTCGACCGAGCTCTGAGCAGCACGATGCAGCTGGAGCAGCGCCTCATCTTCTCCCAGCGCAAGCTCGAGTTCCTGGAGGACTTCGGCAGCGACGTCAACCTGTGAGTTAGTCAGAGCGCTCGCTTTCCGTTAGCTAGGGCTGGCCGATATAGCAACAAAAAAAAGTCAGAACATTTGATCGATTCTCAACCAGTCAACTTGAAAATGTAACTACAACATGATTCTCAAGTGACTTCCTCTAGTTAAAGAAAATTCTATTCCAAGTGCAGCACACATGGTTGTCAACATGATGTAAATGTTAAACAAATCACTTGTTCTTTGCAGAAAAGATGCATGAACTATAACTACATCTTGTACAAACTTGTCTTATACATATGTTCAGAAATAATATGAGGAAAATGCTTAAAATTAGTAATTCAAACTCAAAACGATTGAAGGTATAACAGCAGTAGAGTATTATTAACTCTAAATGTTCTG